TCTGGAACGTAGCCCCCTTATTAACAAGCAATCGTCTTGAGGAAACACCTCCATTCCGCACACACTGATCAGCCTGCTTGGTACCCAGCATCACACAAGCCCCTAGGTATCCGTCCTGGCTAGGTTTAGCGTTACTGACATGGTACAGAGTACATACTGTAACGGCGTCCTGTTCACGGAGCTTTGAACGAAATCTTCCAAATCCTTATAACATCCACGTACCACACCGTCGTACGAATACCATTTCCTGTATGTGCAGGGATGACGTCGTGGCACCCAGCTTCTCGGAACTTCCACCCCCCACCTCGCCCAAGCTGGCAACAGCTTTTCCTGAACGCAGATGAATCTTGCAAGAAGTCTGACACCACCTTGTTCGCAAGTTCGCCTCACGTCTCCGGCTCTACCGCAAAAGTATTCCTCCATCCAGCATGACGACACATGTCTAGAGTCAGAAATCGATCGAAATACAGCCTTTCCAGGATAGTGCGAAGGGATTCAACTAGGCATGACTTGTTAGAGGCGCCCTAACTGCAGCATTTCCTGCCAATTCATCCATAAGATCTTTCCGAGCACGTATCCGAATAACCAGCTTGGCCCTGCAGCAAAGCGGTGTAAGGCGGTAGGCTGCTGATATCAAACAATCGAGCACGGGTCTACCGGCCAGCGCAGACCGGGGCACGATGCCTGCTTCATCCCAGTCCGCAATGAGCACATGGTCTTTGGAACCAAAGGACTGGATCTGATCTGCACCCCCCTCGCTGGTCAGGATGGGAATATTCAGTACACTAGTGGTCTTTTGTTCCACTCTAGAACGAGAGCCCCCGTCGTGTGTACCACGAGAAACGAGAAGCCTCAGACGATTCCTGCGAACAAGGAAATGGGATCCTTCGACTACAGAGACTCAGAATGCAAGTCAGTGTGCCGCCGCTGTGGCTCTCAAAGAACAGAACGGCACCACCGGACCAACGAGATCTCGCACCAAAGGTACCGCCGGCAGCATAGCGCCTATCCACGGGCATGTGTTCGCGTGGCGCAAATTGCTCTTCACCGTACAGATACGGATGCAAGTACTTGGAAATTTGAGACACCTCTTGCGCCCAACGCTTCCAAGATGCGGTCCCAGGAGCCTGGGCACACCTGTACAGGTACCAAGCAACCATTAAACCCCGCCTGCAGCGGCAATCGGGTCTTGACCCATTTCCAGCGCATGTCACCAACCTCCTTGAAACGGCATCACAGGAATCGGTGGCAGGGACGTTGGAATGGTCTTGGTCTTCCTAGGCTGATCAGACGGAGTCGAGTGCGAATAAACGAATCAAATTGCACTTTTGCAGCGGCCGACGCGATCCCTGGTTGTCGAGGTCCCGTGTCCAAGGGGTACGAATCATCCGAAGCCACGGTTCCAATAGCCTGGGACCGATCGGCACCAGCGGTGTTATTTCCAGGAGATGGGGGCGGTCGAGTAGCTACCCTGGCCACCTTTGTCTGTTCCCCCCCCTTGGCACAAGTACTCTCCGGATGGTTTCCCTGCAATCTTTGTTCCGCAAGGTCCCAGCCCCGAAAGGCGTGGAGGCGTTGGAGCCACCCACCCGCGCTCGCATGGACGGATATAATCACTCATCAGTGAGAGTATCAGTGGCACGCCTGCCCATATCCTTAGCAGTCGAAATTGGACTCGCGATTCTTTCCAGCACGGTCATGTTGGACCGAGACGATGGACGGGCTGTGTCTTGGTCCCTGCCGGGTGATTGGTCGTTGCTGGCTCGGTTCCACGACTTTCCCGCTTCTTTTCGGGGCTGCATACCAAAACATCCCGGGGTCCGTGGTAATGTCTGAGGCTGATGTCGGGGTTAGATGAGCTGGCAGCGGTGATGACGCTCCTCGACCCTTGACCCCTGAGACTAACGACCCGACACTCTGGTTCTGCATTTGCCCGCTACTCACCCCGGCGTCAGCTACGACGGCGGAAGCCTGTCAACTGAGTCACGGGCTCAGAGTCTGGGCGGGAAGAAAAACAAATGGAAGACGAGTGGGCCTGTGTGCGAAGCCGAGCCTCCGCGGACGACACGCTTCGAGATTCCAAACATCTCCTATCTTGCCGTGTCCCAATTTGCCGGGTTGACGAATCCTTGCCCTGAACCAGAGCAGGGTGCATTTGCTCACACACCACACATGCGTGCACCATAACAACGCTCGCGCAACCGGAACATGACGAAGCTCAGCTGGTACCAGAGCAATGGAATAGCTAATGTAAGGAAGCACCCTCTGCCTGCTGACTGAGGTATCAACTAGTGTCGAGACATCAGGTGGCATGGACGGCGCCAAACCTTAATCAAACATGATCGGTGGCATAGAGGGACTTTTGCACCAACCAACTTCTGGTCGCGAAGAGGGTTAGGCGTCTAGACACGACTGTCAAAATTTAAGTCGCTCGAGCTCGAGTCACCCAGATCTTCCCCGCACTTTGAACTTATCCAAAGTTACGAATACAAACCTCATAATTGCCAGTCATAGGCCAGAGCTTGCTCATGGCTCGACAATGAGGCGAAATTTTCGAGGACAGAAGCGGCATACCATGGCGATCGCCTGGCGCTCTGGGCCGATGGTCCATCGTAGCGTCACGAGGCGGCCGCCAATCTCGTACGAACAAGTGATTTGCGCCGGCCTTCCCATCAAGCAAACGGGGCGAATCCTTCTGGCTGTCCCACAGATTATGTACCCTTTGCCATGGAGGGATCCAAACATTTGGAGTCGGAGCGACCACGTATCCGTACTACCATTATACTGTGTCCGGATAGTATTCGGAAATCGCCCAACCATACTCCGTACAGATAGACGTTGGTTACATCGTCTGACAAGCCAGGCAGGCATCGGTGTTGACGCGCAGCAATTGAGCATCCAAGGGGGTTCGGCGGGCATCCCAGTCTTTGCCAGGTCGCTGCATCACGGCAACAAGGGTTTGCTTATTGGCAATTCTTTGATCCATCCAGACGGGCAAACGCGTTGATTGCCTATTTGTACTCGACCCCTGCCACCCTACTTGAACTAATGGACCTCGGGGACTGTTGCATTCCTTACCCAACGCTCCTGAGTCTTTCCATCTTCCCTTCGGAATGGCGCAAGTCTACTTCGAATTAACTAGAACCGCGTCAAGCACCGACATGGGCCAACCCTGACGGACGATCTAGGTCGGGTTTTCGGCAGTTGATGCGCCAAAAGAAAAGGACCTTCCAGATTACCTGCGCAATCTGGTTGGCTTCAATCTTGGGTTAAGCCAGGTTTGACGTTGGCTGTCATCTACGGATTGTCAGATCTTGTCACATATGCGGCGTGCAGGCAGCAGGGCAACATTCCCGAGGTTCTAGTGGCGACCGACGCTGCATATGTTGGAGAGACAGAACTGAAAACCAGATTATTGTTCACCGGAGCCTCTCGGACAGGTTCAGCGACGTTACATCAAGCTGGTCTCCTTTGATCCCTATCACAGCAGCGGTCAGGACCCGCGAGTCGCAGGGCGGCTATGGCTGGGTACCGCCGTTGAATCTCGCCTGCCGATCACAATGCGTCAAGAGGATAGGCGATCTGCTGCGCCGCCAACGTCGGCGCAAATACGCAACATTGAATTTCTGTTGGAGAACAGGCTGAGCTAATCGCCTCACAATGTGCATCCTAGATCCTTGCCTGGTCGATACTCAATACGGTGAACCCGTCACTTGCCAACACCCAAATGACACCGAATACGATTGTAATCTGCGGCATGATGATCACGCAGAAGGCGAAAGTGTGACCTGGCAAGCCTGGCAACACTATCAACAGGAATGCGGCACAGTTCAGCGGCAATCTATCACAGCCGCTCACTCCAATTGGACTCTTTTTCTTTATAGTAGCAAACCGGGGCCGGTGCGAGAAACAACGAACAACAAAATCCCCGAGCGAAGTTGACCGACAGGGAATGTGATCCCAGACGCCATCCTTCAATAGCGGTTCCGAGCTCTCGGGTCCAGGTTCTACGCCAGCACGCCCTGTCCTCTGGTTTTCCGGAAAATCAACGAGCTCAAGATGTATTCCTCAATTGGTCAGTTGGCGTGACTTCGTTTGTCCACCAGTCAGCACTGTTACAACCATCTCATCTCATCTCAAAGACGTTTCCCATACTCGGTGTCGGTTACGGACAATGCTTGCCAGGAGGACTACAGCATATCAGGTAGCAGACGGTGCTCTTCGCCAATTATTCGCTCATTGATTGGCCTCGTAGGAGGTGGCGTTGTGTGTACCGATTGACGGTCACCTCACGAATAGAAGGATACATCAGCTTAGTGGTGGAAGCCATGCGAAACTTGTTTCAACATCTATGTTGACGATGCGGCTCTGCATCGTTTCTGCAACTAGCTAAGCAACTCGACCAGACAGATCATCAATCATTGAGCCATGTCGAAATATGATGAAGTCGCTAGCGATAGGGACGAAGCTGCATGCCTGGTAGGGTATTAACAATGCGTCTGCCATTTCCTCTGATGATGGTCTAGAGTTAATCGATACAGATACAAAAGCTGACCAACGACCACGAGCTATGGTACCAACTAACCTACCAGTCGACTTATCGGTTGGCGTCTCGAAATAGCTGTGGCTATTCCCGGTTTGATCGAAGAATGATAAGTAAGAACAATTCGAAGGGAATTTTAAGCGCCCTTGGTACAACTGGGTTCCCACATCTATAATAATCGACCCCGAAGAAGTACGCTCACCACAAATAAACCAAGCGTTTCGCCCGTTCGTCGAGAGTGGAACCATGGCCTGTCGAAAGTTGTAACATGTCAGAACCCTGGCTGGTCTTGGTGCGCTGCACGCGCATCGAGGACCCTCAACGGGCCGTACCACAGCGTGTGTACACGTGTCTGAGGCTCGGGTGCGAAGTGCGCTCACCGATAGTGGCCTATCCGTACTCCGTGGACAATCGGTCGATGCATGCTGCACACTTCCGATTGAGTACAACGGCGGGGCTCAAGAGGCTGGACGTGGAAATCGCCAGTGGGCCTCCACGAGAAGGCGACGACGATCGGTGGTTCCATGGACCATTACACTACGGAGTATCCATACTTCTCCAAGGGATTTCCGATGATGAAGCGAACTTCAAACGGTCATGCAATTTAAATGAAACCCCGCTGGACAAGACCACGGGGCTCTGCACGAATATCCACTGCAGCTTTATCGAGGGGGGGCATCAGTGACGAACATCTCCCTCAGTACTCCGTACTACGTACGGAGTAGAGTGCTTGAATAAACACGCGGCTGGGCTGAAGCTTACATACAGGTGGGCGCTTTTCAAGGACTGCTTGCTGATGATCCCATCAGATTATGCTCGCCGCTGATCCATTGACCCCATTGAACCATGGGCCAATTTTCGGAGAGGTACTCACCTTCAAGGGGGCCCACGATGGGCTCTCCGGTGATTGCTCGGTGGTCACACCCGAGGAGCCGTTCGTTGACGTTTGACGGGCCCTAGGTATGCAGTCTTTGCTATATTCTATCCGTAAGTGTCCGGAACTTCGGATGGATACATTGCAAAGTCGCAGCTCAACGGATATAACGTTCGAGATTTTTTCCAGTCTTACCAGTGCCTGTTTTGCAGAATGCAATGTCGGTACTTGGTCGGTATCCACCAAGTCGGAATGAGGCCGAGAAAGGTATACGCGATTTGCCTACGGATTACTCCTATCCTTATTCTGGCGCAACGTACTTTACGAGATTGTACTGTTCGTGGTGAAGAACCAAACTTTGGCTCTTTTTCAATGGAAAGCGGAATACCGGCTACCATGGGTTCATGGTTCACTACCACCTCCTTCTGGGCCATCCTCGGGTTGATCTAGCCTAGGCCCTACGGATATGTAGGTTTCCCGATGTCCTGTAGCCGATGAGATCGATTTGTCTGCCCATGACAATCTGGCTGCCCCGTGGGCCCGTAGGTTCGACTTCCTTGGATAGCCGAGTCGAGGGACGCGAGCTGGAGATTTCTGTGAGGTCACCTGGCCCACCTATTAAGGATGGCTTGTGTGGCGTTTGGCGCGAGCAGCGGGCTTCAGCCTTCTGCTGGTAGGTAGTCTGCAGAGTGGGCGGGTTCGTGGGACGGACCGATGGTCTGATGTTTTGGTGTGCTTCTACGCAGAGGGGGAATGTTATGTCTGTTTCGACAGAGTCTAGACACTTAAAGGTGGTCTACGCACGATGTAGTGCTGGAGAGAGAGAGGCGGTTGATTCACCGGACGGGGACTCTAGTGTTCCGTTCAAGGGGGGTTCTACTACTGGATGCGCGTCCTGAAATCAATCATCTAGTGGAGGGAAAAAGAACGAGTCGAGAATACCAAAAACTACTTAAAGTATTTGATCATCTTTCTTGTCCTAACATAGTGTCTTTGGCTGGGGCAGAACGACCAACCCTTGAGGTTTCTTGGGAAAGATGGCACTTGTGGTAATTTACCATGTGAATGAATCATCCTCGGCATGTATAAGTAGCCGCTAGCTAGGCCAAAAGGTAATTGCTCTACATGAGAGGAAAACTCTGGTATCATATCTATATAACTCTGCGTCCCTTTGAATACTCAACACCACATCTCGACTTCTGTTCACTGTTATATCTTTGGCCAAGATAAATTGGAGCCTCGCGTTCGAGTCTACCTGTGCCGCAAGTGTATATATCTCCTTGCTCGACGAATGGGCCCTTCTGACGTGAAATCAGGATGGAAACCCAGGGCTCTGTATACTCGCCCCCACCCCTTTTTTTTTTCTCTGCCACTAGCTATGATGTGTGAGTAAACTTCACTATAGATCACGGGCAGGATTGACATGGGCACTTGTTTGATATCAGTGATGCTGGAGCAAATCTGCGATCCGCGGATATATCTGGATGACTATGCCGGGGGGAGCCCCTACCTAAGACTCGGAATGGGCATACAGGCTGTGTGAAAGTGAAAGATATGTTACGAGAGACATATCTACGGTGAGATGAGCTAGAGGTAGAGGTAACTCCCACCCCACGAGTGAAGGAACGGTTTACAAATCCTATGCCCATGGATTCTACTTGACGCCACGAGGAATGTGTTTAACTCCCCGCGGAACGGATCGAGATCACCTACACGGCACGCACGGCTGGCATTGGACTCCTGTCGACGTGGCTGATCTGGGGTTGAGTGGTCGATCACGTTAATAGGTCCTTTGATTTCCACACACTGGCAGACCACCTTTCTCTGGTCTCATTACCCATGGTATCCTCTTAAAACATCATCATCGCAGCGGAGGGAGCCACGGAGTGTTGGGAAAGGAAGCGAGGCCGTAAGGGCAAGTTAGAGTTTGAAACAGAGACATCAAGGCGAGTAGAGAGATGATTACAAGTTCCGTTTGATTCCAAAGGCGGCACACTGCCGAGTTACTACATGCTTGTATACTTATGAGAGAGCACGAGGTGTAAGGGGGTTCGGTCCATGTATAAAGTACGTCGTCAGGTTAAGACAAGGCGGCAATGTACGTTTCACAAAAGGGGTGTGGTGTATACAAAACCCAAGGGCTGACGTTGGAAAACATCTTACTTCTACCCCATTAAGGCCGAGCAGCGGGCCGAATAGGTCTTAGGGAACGGGACATATTTGTGGCAGCAGATTCCTATTCTAGAGAGTCGGGAGACAACTTCATGACTTTTTTCGCTGTTGTACACGTTTTTCTTTTTTGGGGGGTTGAATTTCATTATTGTTGATTGTCTAATGAAAGAAAAGGGTCTGCTGCATTCCCATTGAAACTGATGCAAAGGAAAAACCACCTTGCTCTGACCCGTCTTCCATGTCTGCTTGACTGAAGCGAGTCTTCCTCCCTTTTGGTCTTTCCTCCTGTAGAAACCCGTCCTCGGCTGAAAAACCCCCCAAGCTCTCATTCCCTGTCGTGGCCACTGGCCTCTGGCCTCTGTAAACATGGCATGGCCCCCAGGCCGCTTCCGAAAGCATGCCTCTGTGCTTCGAGATGCATTGCGCCGCAGTGAGCATAGATCTCAGGTCACGCCCCCTGATGATAGTGGGAGCCAGTGACCAAGTTGTGAAATCCAATTTCTAATGCATCGCAAACGGCTTCAAGGCATTGCAGTGGGAATTGGGCGTTGGCTGCCATTCCAGGAGAAGAAATCAAAATGAACGATGCTGAGTTTTTTGGGCGTGTGGCTGATCTCTAGCCTCTGCCCTCTGCTAGTCTACAAGATTGAAATTGGATAGTCAATGAAGTCGAGGTCGACGCGGGTAGAATCGAAAAGACTTCACTCCTATACGATTGCAAAGCGTCGATTCGTCGTGCAAAACGCGTGGTGTTTCTTACCACTCGTACTCGCCAGTGGCCTTGTGGAAGACGTATTCCTTGCCATTGACGGTGAGAACGCCATCCTTGAGAACGCACTTCCACTTGTTCTTGACGCGCTGGACCTTGTCGTACATGCAGAGCATGATATGTCCAAGACCCTCATCATCAACCTCGTCGTCATCCTTATCTTCATCAGGGTCGTCAAGATCTGAATTGATTGCGTCTTCGTCAACTTCATCATCATCGTAACCATCGTAACCAGCAATTCCACCGTGCTCCTTGCCCTTGGATCGCGCGGTGGCAGCTGACGAATGTCTCGTGGCTTCCTTCAGAGGCAGCATCAAGCCGCCGCCCTCCATGCTCTTGGCGTTGGCAGCAATCCGCGCATGGATCATGCGATCAATGTCGACACGTCCAAGCTCGCGCTGAGAGCCGTCAGGGTTGCGTTGGAGCAAAACACCTTCAAAGTCGAAATCGTCGCCAGCACCGTCGGTCTGCGAGGGATTCACACCTGGCTGACCATTGCTAGGCGGGCGCTGCTGTTGCTGACCCTGTTGAGGAACTCCAGGGCGGTGCTGCTGTTGCTGCTGCTGTTGAGGCTGGCCGGGCATCTGGGGCAGAGGCGGCTGGTTGGCGGGCCTGTTGGTCGCTGAAGCTTGAATGGCGTTCATGGAGGCGGCGCCTTTCTCACCGAACTGACCGCGCACATGTTGAGCGGCTCGGTAAGCTGCGAGCCCAGCGCTATCTTGTTGAGATGGGGGCATTGGCACGTTCTGCATGCCAGGCTCCGGCTTGATGTAAGGCTCCTCCTTGACAGGCATGTTACCGGCCTGTTGAGCCGGGGTTCCGCCGGGCAGAGGCAGACCGGGCACTGGAAGTTGGGGACTGAGCTGGGCTTGGGAGTATGGAGCCGCAGGCGGTGGAGCAGCCGTAGTCGGAGGTGGTGCTGCGGGAGCTGGAGCTTCCTTGACGGGGTCCCATGGAAACGCCGCGACCTCGAGCTGGGTGAGTTTCTCCTGCCAGCCCTTCTTCAACTCTTCGAGCACGCTCTCATCAACACCGCCTTCCTCGAAATCGACTCGAGAAGAATTTATCACTTCATCGATGATTTGCGAGTAGACGTTGCCCACCGCGTTGTTCGACATGGTGGCGTTCGTTGGTCGTCGTCAACTGCGTATTTGTCAAAGAAACAAAGTCGTGTCAAGCCTCGGTACCGACGAGACGGATGTGTGACTTCCGTGATTGCACCTTCTCCGACCTGATCCCTCCTTCCTGACTGTATGTACCGCGGAGTACCGAAGTCGTGGAAGTTGTCGAGAATATTGAATCGGGAAATCCGCCTCAGAAGGTTGCTGTTGGGTAGTCGATGGGGAATCGGCTGCTTAGTCCGCTGTTTCTCGCTGCCCAAAATGGCATGCGCGTACGTGAACTCGGTAATGGCGGAAGCGCAATCGATTGCCTGTGAGATCTCACCGGTTGTTATCGTGATATTCGATGTAGGCAGGCTGTCTGACTGGGCCCTGTTCTTCGCTTGATGATGTGTACAGGTCAAGGTTGCCTTTGTTCGGTGGGTTTCGTTTTGAGGCTCGAAGCAAGCGCTCGCCTATTAGTAAGCTTAGGCGGCAGCCGCACAGTGGGAAGGCTGAACTCGGGCGCACCTGCCAACTGCAATGGAAGTGCAAACCGTGGTGATCGCTGAAGGATCCACACTTCCCGCAGGGACTGATAAGGTCTTAATTAACCCGATAAGCCACCTTGGAAGTGGATTGATGCCGGAATGCGGGGTGTGAACCGCACCTCGTCGGCAAGCAGCTAGGTACCTTACCTACCTAGTCAATATATATGCCTGCTGTCAGAGTTGAAATGACCTGCTTCTCCTGTCTGCGAGATCAACAGCAGGCACAATCAAAGTGTTGGTTTCCGTATCAGAAGAAGTTGAAAACCAGGTTTTCTTTATTGTAATAGCGGCTCTTGTCACTTAACTGCGGCCGTCTTTTATTGTACTACAGCACGTCCCTGACGATGCATTCCTTCCCAAAAAAAACAAGCATTACAAATCTGTCCCATGCTAAACAGCAATGAATGATATCTTCTGTCGTTACTCATGACCAAGCAATTTCGTTTCCCGTGGAGAAGCCCTTTCGTGCCACGTAGAGTCGGATGCAATAAAACCAAACTCCTCGCTGAAGATGACCCCAACCGCCGAGAACCCATGACCGACAAATGCCAGAGGAGATATACCTACATTTATTGACGTTTTTTGACCGACATTCGCCAGGCTTGGTCGATGATGAGTCGTTTACCGGATGGTCATCTGCTTGACCATCTCCGCTTTGGCCGAAGACGTGCTGCTGCCAACACCGGCACTGGCACCGGCCTTCTTCTCGAAGACCTTCCAGAACTTCAGACTCTCATCAGCAGCTAGGAGGCAGTGGTTAGCACTTGTTATGGTCAGTGTTTATGCTTTCAAGACTCACCTGCGGTAGCTAGCATCTGACCGTCAGGGCTGAGGCAGCTGTGCAAGACTCTGCTCTCGTGTGCGGGGATCTCGACGTTGCGAACCAACGTAGGGTAGCTCCAGATGCTCAGGGAGTTGTCGGGGAAGCCACTAGAGCTGACAATCTCACGGTAGTGAGGGCTCCACCTCAGGCTGGTGACCTGAGAGCCAGTGTCGATGCTGTTGACGCGAGCACCAGAAGTGGAGTTCCAGAAGTGGATGTGACGATCATAAGAGCCACCACCCGTAGCCAGGAGATTCATGTTCCATGGGCACCACGCGAGGGCCTTGACAGCAGCCTTGTGGTTGGTCTTGGTAAACTTGGGCACAGAGAGCGAGCGGGCGTCCCAGATAGAGACGAGGTTGTCGTTGCCTCCGGTAGCCAGTTGGGCGCCATCTGACCGCCACTCCAGACCGCAAACTTCTGAGGTGTGGGAGACCAGCTCTGCCACCTTGTGCTCCGCAATGCGGACATCGTGGTTGAAAACCAGTCCGCTGCGAGCACCAGTTGACAGAAGGTGCTTGTTCCAGCCCATAACACCAACACGGGTGTCGTGACCAAACATGCTGCGGACCTTCTGGGCCTCGGCCACGTCCCAAATCTGAACCTCACCAGTGCCAAGACCAACACCGACATACGCGCCGTCACCAGACCACTTAACACTGCTGACGTACGTGTCGGGGCTTGTCTCAAGGAGGCAGCTGACGCTTCCCTCATCGGCGGACCAGACGTAGACGTTGCGTTCGAGGCCGATGGCAACCTGGTTGCCAGAGCTCCAGTCGAGAAGGTTGAGGTAATAGTCGTCAATCAGACCAGGAGCATCAAGGACACGCTCAGGGGCAGTGGCAACGCGACGGCGGAATTGGGCTGACGTGGCGCTCGCAGGCTTCAGAGGGCGGTTGTACTGCTGGCGGAGGTCGATGGGCTTGGAAGATTCGGGAGGCGCAGGCTTGAATTGCAGGATACGGGTGTTGAGGTCGACTCCGCAAGCGTTTGCAAGAGAATCCTGATACGCAACGGTGTTGGGAGAAGGACGAGAGTAGGTCGAAGGCTCCTCGTCCTCAATGTTGAGACCCTCGAGGGCAGCGATAGCGTCATCCGTTGCGGATGAGAGGACATTGGACGCTTCGCTCACGCTGGCCTTTGAGCGCTTGTCGGGTCGGTCTAGCTTGCTGCTGCCGGCGTTGGAAATAGCAGAGCTGGCGCTACGGTTGGGGATGAAGCGGTCACCGCCATAGTTGACAGTCGTCTTGCTGACCTTTTGTCTGTGAGAGCTCTTCTTGGACTTGGCGCTGGAAGGGGTCTTGGAGGTTCCAGAGCTGGTCAAAGCAAAATCGGACAAGCCAAGCTCGAGGGCTCTGCGAGGAGTTGAAACGCCTCTGGCAATGTTGGACTTGGGAGAGTCGCGGTGAGACGACTTGGTGGTGGTGGATCTAGCCAAGTGCGCGGTAAGGTTGCCGCCGTAGGTTGACTTGCTAGATGCGCGGTATGCGTTGCTGCCAGACTGCTTCTCAGGAGTGAAGGGGGAAGAGTTCAGGTTCACCGAGACCGAGGTGGTGGAATGCTGACGCGGCGAAGGTGTAAGAGGCATGCGACCGCCGGCGGTGCGGGAAGAAAAGAGACCCTTGTGGGACTTGATGGGGGTGGATACTGATGCAGTGGCCATTTTGGGTAGTGTATGTGGGGTATCGTGATAAAACGAATTGTGAATCTCCAACGGGTGCAGCTTGGCGCATCGATGGACGAGGTGATGAGAGCTCCAAGAGAGTCTATCGAAAGGTTCCTGGATGTTTCGTGTGTTTTATTAGTATTCTGTCGTTGTCGTACTGCTCGATGTTCGAAGTAGTGCCGTCACTAGAAGAGCTCGAAGTCGGAGGGGCGACCAAATGGCTGGAGACAGCGATGAGATCTAGCGGACTTGATTGTTCTTGTGAAAAGGCTTTGATTGAGAAGCTTGACCCAGCTCGAAAGCGTAGGAGAGCGGATTCAGGGTAGTAGAGGATAGCGGAAGTGAAGAGGTTTGATACAGAGAGAAGAAAGCTCGAAGCTGGACAGGAGCTCTCATCATCTTTTTATTTACTTGGTGCCCCACCATCATCGCGGCCGGGCAACGACGCTTGGGCCAGCGTTGCGGCGTTGCCAAAGTGAAGTGGGGCTTTCTGACGTTGCACCGTCAAATTTCACTGTTCAGTGTTCACTCAGGCTAAGTACGTACCTTGGCACCGTTCGCTGGGAGAAACGATGGGTCACGTGGCTTCCGTTGCGAGTCGGGCGCTACCGCCGGCAACCGGGCAAGCCAATGAACGAATGGAAGCGCTGCCTCCCCCCTGCACACAGCCCGTCTGCAGTTGCCACGACAGAGACGCAGGTTGGAGACTGGAGACAGGAGGGTGGCCCGTGATTCCCTAATTAAGAGGCCTGGGTTGTCAATGCAGGAACATTGTTAATCTCCACCTCCCCGGCGTGCGACGACATCCCATCCCATTTCACTGTCGCTTGCCGTCCCTCTATCGAACTTGCACTCGGTAGAAAAGCGTCGCCCGCTCCTGCCGCGACTTCTGCGTCCCTACGCTATTCAGTCAACTACACACCGAAGCCAGCACCACTTTCGCGACCTCGCATACGATTGAGATGATTTGTTAGCATCCACCCTACATATGCTGCCCATCATGGCCCAGCCTCAGCCATCACCAGTGACTCCTGGTGCCTTAGCCCAATCCCTCTTCGGTGGGCCGGCATCTCAGGCCCTATCGACACCCAACCAGGCTTCGAACACACCCGCGCAGCCTACGCCTTCTCCGATGGACCAAACTCCGGGTTCAGCAGCGTCAAGCAACAACACCTACATCATGCCCAACTCTCCTATCAAGAGTAGAGGTACCTTGGATGGCTATCGTCCAAGGGTAACAAGGACCTTGGGTCAGCGACCGGCCTGCCTCGTCAACGCCTCGGTCACATATTGTGGCAATAATCACATCTATGCCTTCGGAGGCTTCGACCAGTACACCGACGAAGTCTATAACCATGTCCTCAAGCTGGATTTGGTCAGCCACCAGTGGAGTTTGGTTGACAATTACGGCGATATCCCCGGCGTAAGGATGGGTAAGTTATCTTGATCATGGAGCGCGGTTCTTCCCTTGTCATGATCTAACGAAAAACCAGGCCATACTGCCACTCTGTACCAAGGTGACAAACTTCTGGTCTTTGGTGGCGAAAACGAGCACCGCACCTATCTCTCCGACTTGATCATTTTTGATCTGAAAACTGCGCACTGGACACAACCTTCGGTAACGGGTCCAGTACCCAAGGGTCGAGCAAGACATGCAGCAGTCCTACACGAGGATAAGCTGTTCATCGTTGGAGGCATAACTGGTCATGATAACTATGTTCTTGACGATATTTGCTATCTTGATCTCAAGACCTTCACTTGGTCCCGCTCATGGCGTTTCGTAGGTCGATTCGACCACTCTGCCTACATTTATGGAGACAGAGTATGGGTTTTTGGCGGATTGTCCGAGGACATGGACAAGATTGGCGATCTCTGGTGGCTCGACCTCAAGGGCAGTCCGGCTTTTGATTCTGCACCGCATGTTGGGATATACGATCGTCAATCCGGCACCAGCCGCGCTGTCGGTTCGCCAAGACAA